TTCTCCTTCCTGCCGTCACCGGAAGTGTTGCCTTGGCAACGCCGTCGCCGGCAGCCTTCACCCCGGAAGTGTTGCCTTGGCAACGCCGACGCTCTCGGACTTCACCCCGAAAAGCCGGGGAAGACGCTCTCGTTTTGAGGACATACAACCAAAAAAGACACACACGTTTATTGCAGCGCCGGGTGTGTCGGGAAGGATTCCCCAGGACGCACCCCGAATCGCATAGGTTTCATCAATTTAGACAACTTCCTAATTACAGATTCGAGGATTCCCTCACCTGTCCCACTCCATTTCCCCCCTCGAATTGCTTGTTTTACTGTTGACACGGTTTCCTTCCTTCTGGACCTGGTTCAAGGCCTAAACCCAGTCTTGTCTCGTCTCCTTTTTCGCTTTTATCACTCTCTTCCGCAGGTGCTAACAGTTGTCTTAGTTTCCCAACTAAAACACTGTAAACTGTTTCATTCACTTCCACAAGTACTTTGAAATAGTTTCTCTATTTCTTTGTTGAACTCACTAATCTCAGATGAAAGGTCACAGAACACTAATTGACATAAAAATGTAGGTGATCCCTGCCTTTGTCAGAGGCAGAATTAAGACTTCACTAACAAGATGTAGAGGAATAGTGTGTCAGAAAGGCACAAAGAAATGAGTATAATTACATTTGAGGAAAATCCGGGTGTAGTATGAAGAATCAAAGGGAAATGTAGACAGTCAAACCAAGTAGAGAGTTGATAGAATGACTGGAATTTTTGAAGTTCAGGATTTTTGAAGGATACAAAAATAACATTCCCATATCTTACGTACAGAATTGACGCCATAGAGGGATGTTATGCATACGTAGCATAACACAAAAGCAGCTTTTAGACTTCTAGTGGAGAGAACTGGAAGGGAAAACTGACCCTAAACTGAATTTTTGCGGGCCGTGGAAGCGCTGCCATGGCAACGCGGGACGCTCCCGGCACCGGGCCGGCCATGGCGGGGCGGCCTCGCTGCGAACTGTGCGGGACCCGCCC